AATATGAGAGGATCTAAATAACTGAAACATGGAGCAGTTATGGGAGGATATTTATTCAGATGTTCAACTGTAGTGTAGTTCATCAAGTCTGTTCTTCTGTATCCTTCATTTCCTTCCACTCCTGTTTAGTAAGGCAGGCATATCACACTTTCTTCAGTGTGATAGTACTTAGTGAACAGTTGCACAATGTATTTCCTTTATAACTTTTGTTTTTAAATTAGGTAGGCAGAATAGTAACTATAGAAACTGTAAAATGGGAAATTTCCCCATAATCATCTATTGGTTTACTTGCTAATATTTTAGGATTAATATATACATATATGTACATATATACTATATATTATATATAGTACTAAACATATCAACAAGTGGTCCAATAATATGATACATGATTATCCCAAGTAGGCTGTAGCCCAGCTGGCCATGAATTTATGATCCTTTTATATACTTCAGTCTCACAGTTGCTGCGATGATATCCATGTGTAACCACATCTTATTATATTTTGTTCTTTATGCACATGTTTTGATATTCAAACTATGTCTATTGGCTTAGCACCTCATAAGTATGTGTTTTATATATATATATAGCTTCGAACTAGTTAAACAATTACATCCTATAGTTCATTTCTCTAATTGAACTACTTTTCTGCCTTTAGATTGTTTCAAATATAACTTACATTATTTTCCCTTTAGAATAGGTTCATAGAGCTAGTAATTTAATAAGTGGGTTTTGACATTCTTTAATTTTTAAAATAAATTTGCTAAATTAAATTAAAGCTGTTGACATACATGATAGAGCAAGCAGTATGTAGAAGTGTAAGTTTCAATCACCCTTGACTACAGTAGGAATTACTTTAAAATTTTACATCTGTCAGTGATAATCAGCAGTGCTTTCTTTTTGCAGAACACATGGTCATCATGTTTTTTTACTACTTTGTTGGATTCTTGTTTATGCTTCCTCCCCCATCTTTATTTTCAGTCAGGCTGTGTGTGTGTGTGTGTGTGTGTGTGTGTGTGTGTGTGTGTGTGTGTAAGAGTGACTGAGAGAGAGAGAGAGAGAGAGAGAGAGAAAGAGAGAGAGAGAGAGAGAGAAAGAGGGCCTTTATTAGCAAATAAAATAGAAGGTATCTGTTGTACAACATGGGTAGTAATTATCTGTAACTGATAACTGGAGGTTCCTTTTTTTTGAGGACTGGTGTTTGTGGTTCTGTAACCAGCCCATCAGCCCCTGGGTCCAGTCCTGGGTCAGGGCATGTGGATGAGGGAAAGGCTTATAGATGATAAAAGAAAGAGACATAGGATGGTGTCAGGAGGGTATATTCAGTCCATACTGAATGCACTGTTTATTCATACTCCAACTTAAGTAATCAACCAAAGGTGGGGACAATGGCAGAAGACTTCTATTATCATGTATAAAGGGCAAATAGCAATTACTTTCCTTAGTCCTAAAGACACTCCATAGCTGCACATATCACCTAGCCTTCAGGGTGAGTGTAAAACTGTCTGGGCCCAAGTCTACTGTTATTTTGATAGAAGCCATTCACCATCCAAGGCACTGGCATCCTGTAGCTGTTAAGCTAATGTCTTAGAGACTAGGAGTGATTTGAGCTCTCTGAACTCATGGCAAGATGGAATGGATTCCCAATATATGGGTCCAGACAATCCCCCCTTCTTAGATTCATAAAATAATACCTATGCTTCTGCAACAGAACAGACGACTGTGTCTGTCTTAGGTTGCCTTCTTCAACCTACCAGTGCTTACCTGTCCTCGGATCACACATCCCATCATGTCTTAGGTTGCCTGGGGGCATGAAGATCTTATCCTACTCCTTCATCAGCCTCTGTAACAAAGAATGTTGGGGTGGTGTATCTTATATTCTAATATAAATTATTTATAAATGCAATTTCTTTTATTAAAAAGATTCTGCTCTTTTTTGTCTGTGTACAATTTGCAAAAAAAAAAACTATTCTGAAAGTGGAATATATGCAGGCTACACATTTCAGATATGCTAAATGCTTTACAAGTTACTTTCAAACACCATGTGCCAATGGGGCCTTTACATTGTCATCTTTTTAAAATAAGAATATTTTGATTCCAGCCTTCCATTCATTGCTTTATACTAATAAAGCATTTAAAGTTTTTTGGGTTTTGTTTTGTTTTGTTTTTTTCTGAGACAGGGTTTCTCTGTGTAGCTCTGGCTGTCCTGGAACTTGCTCTGTAGATCAGGCTGGCCTTGAACTCAGAAATCCATCTGCCTCTGCCTCCTGAGTGCTAGGATTGAAAGTGTGTGCCACCACTGCTGGCTCTAAAGTATTTTTAAAAATGAATTGAAATTAAGGAGGACTATACTTAGTAGAAAAGAAGAGAATTCCATTACTCTGAGGTTTCAGAATCTCTCCACCCCAGAACCAACATCTTGGCAAAGGCCAGGCTGGACCTTGGATAGAGTTTGAGTCTGCAGGTGACATCCCTGAGGATCTTAGCTTCAGTGGACAATGATTGTTCCAGCGGCATAATTCACTGAACTACTTGCCAGCTTCTACCCTGGCTTGTTGAATCAGACTTCTTAAATAATTAAAAGGTTAGCTTTTGATAGTCATTTTTGGTGCTAAGTGTACATCTTCTGCCCTTGATTTTATTTTGTTTTTGCTTGTGTGTTTTTGCTTGTTGAGACAAGGTCTTGCTATGTAGTACCAGTATGAACATATTATAAACGTATTAGTAAATATCTTCAAACTCAACGTTCTCCTGCCTCCCCTTCATTGAGTGCAGGGACATAGACAGGGATATGTCACCAAGACTGGCTTTTATTTTGAATATGTAGAAGTTTCACATTTTTGTAATAAAACTTAAGTTACTTATGCATAGAAGAGATAGTATGTGATCAAAGTCAAGAAATCAGTATTTGAAAAGGAGTTACTGATAACTTTGTATTTGATAAAGGACCTACTATTCAGAATGTATACAAATCAAGATATAAAAAACAGACAGACTAATTTCAGAATGAGAAAACTCTAGGCTGGCACATTGTAGGTACATTCCAGATGTTTCTCTTATCTGGAACTGTGTATGCCTAGTGGATTCACCTGGCTGTATAAACACTGTAAAGTGTTTACATTGTAAACAGCATTTTAAAATGTTTATTTGAAAGATAAGTTTCATTTTAGAGACAGATTATAGTGAAGTTTAGCACATCTACAGTATACATACTGTGTTCAGTAGTTCAAATTTTCTATACTTCTATAGGAAAGTGATTAACTTTTCCTTCCTTTTTTAAAGATTATGTTGTCTTTAATAGGAATTACTACCTTTGAGTGTGATGATGGTGTTTACTGTTAAGCTTCGGCATGGTCTCTAGGAAAGACCTTTATCAGAGGTCCAAAGTTCATTGTGTGTACCAGGATTGAAGACCTTGGGTTACTGAGAAAAAATGGGAGGTGGGAAAGGGAAAGAAAACTAGAAGTTCAAAGGTAAAGGAAAGGTTGCAAATGCCACATGATAACAAGCAAGAACATAGGAAGAAAACCCATAAAAACTCTATAGCTGCATAAGTTAGTTTTCTTATTCTAAACCACAGGGCCTATTAGAAATACTTTTATTGTTGCACATAGAATAACACTTAAGAAATCTCATCTGTGCACACCACAGATGTGTACATGGCTATCTGCGGTTATTCCTGTGTTTGGCATAGATGATCTCATATTACAGAATCTACTAAAACATCAGATAATTTCACATAGTTCTTTCCAGAAGTTAGGTTTTCTTGTAGTGATCTCTGTTGTAGCTCCTAACATGTCTTCCAAATATATAGCAATTTTTTTAATCCCTTCCTGGAAAAAATGACCTTTCTGAGCCCTGCCATTTTTTCACCTGCTCTTCTTGAGTGACAGCTTTTCACACAAGTCACTCCTAACCTATGGGTCATTTCTCCTTTATGACGTTTTACTTTGTGAGTGTATTCTTTTTTAGACAAAATTAAATCCCAGCTGCATCTTTTATTAAATCTCAAAAGATTCCTCCAGAGAACTACAGTTTTCCCTGTTCTCTTTCCATAGCATATTCTACAATATCATAGGCTAAGCTCTGGATTGGAAACAGTCTCACTCCTCAGAATGAGCATCCTTGGAATATGATCTCTGACCAGTTCAAGTCTATGTTCACCAATGGATTCCTGTTTTGGTCTTTCTGACACATACATCTGTCAGCTTCCTCCATATTCCTTCTTCCTCCCTTGACTGGGACATTAGTCTTTAGTGCATGATAAGTCTTTTGGTAGATTCTTTTTTGTTGTTGATGGCTTTGTTTTTGTTTTGTTCTTTTTTTTTTTTTTTTTTTTTTTTTTTTTTTTGAGACAGGGCTTCACCATGCAGCCTTGGCTGTCCTGGCACTTGCTCTGTAGACCAGGCTGGCCTTGAACTCACAGAGATCTGCCTGCCTCCGCCTCCTGAGTGCTGGGATTAAAGGCAAGCAGCACTACTGTCTGACTTCTTTGTAGAGTATTAGTGAGACATATGTCCAGCTCATTAGACCATTCAACCCCCTTTTTAGTACTTGCATCAAGTGTGAACTGTGCTCCGTTCTGGAAGACTTAGGTGTATACTATTTGCACCAGTTTAGAAGACATTTGTTTTAGCACACTCAGTGTTTTGGAAAAGGTTGGGTAGATTAGCTTACATCAGTAACAGGACAATATTTGTACTTTACTTTAATAAAAATAGATGCCACTTTTAATTCTTAGGCTCACTGTACCTGCTGCTTTGCATCGTCTATCATTTACTGGCCATATATGAAGAATTTAAACCAGTTTTACTCAGGTAAAAACTGTGAGAAAAGAAGTATATTTCAAGAATCAAAATATAAACTGCTTCGTGTGATCATTAGTTTTAGATTAACCGTAGCACTTTTGAAGGGATACCTGAAAATGGACTTAGGAATGAGGGGGAAGTAATTTCACAGTGTATAATGGAGATTCTGATGTCCCTTCATGTGTTTCATTTAGATGTCCCTGGTAGATTTGGGGAAGAAGCTTTTAGAAGCGGCACGAGCAGGTCAAGATGATGAAGTTCGTATTTTGATGGCAAATGGAGCTCCTTTTACTACAGACTGGGTAAAGAGTGATTTTTATGTTGTGGAGTTGCTTTATTTCTTCCTCCTCTTCTGCTCTCCTCCCTTCTTCCCAGATAAAAATTTAGCCAGTATTTATGCTTATAGTGATAAAATATACACATACTCACTTTTGGGGTGGTATTTGTTCAAATTTTATAATTAAAGCTATCTTTCAAAAAGATTTATTTGTATAATTTTTAATTTGTTTATGTAAGCACAGATGGCCGTGAAGTGAGAGGTGTTGGGTCCCCTGGAGCTGAGTAGTTACAAGCAGTTGTTAGTTACCAGACATGTGTGCTACAAACTGAACTTGGGACCTCTGCAAGAGGGATACAGAAGTACATGCTCTTAATGGCTGAGCCTCTTCTCCAGCCCCTGATTGTCTTTTAAATGAGTGTATTGCTCATATTATTTTCTTAATGATAGACAGTCTTATCCAATCAGTATCTGTGAGTAAAGGTGTTTGTTTTAAAGACTTTGGACTATACTAGTTTTGTGACTACATATATAGTTGCTTGGATTCAATTCAAGATATTATAACTAATAGGGAAAGAATTGATAATTCACAGAGTAATGAGAAGGGGAGTTATAACTGCTCCTGGAAAAAAAAAAAGTTTGACTTTTATCTGCTGCTTGTCAAATTGTAAAAAATGTGACCAGGGGGGCAGAGGCATGCAAATCTGCATAGTGAATTTCAAGGATAGGAAAAGCTTCCTATCTATAAAAAAAGGAAGGAAGGAAAGATATGACCAAATAGGAAGAAAGGAAAGGAAGTAGTTTCTTGCAGTATATAGGGCATTGTGGAGAAGGCACATACCTGTTCATTTCTGAGGGAAAGGCAAAAGGGAAGGTCTTAGGAGCATAGAGAAGCATAGAAGGTTAGGAATCTGCACTAACTCTGTTGCTGACAACAACAGAAAATTCTGAGTTTTAATTTTTTGTCTTATTCCTTGTTCTTTGTAAAAATTTTCACGTAAAATAAATTCTTTTGTTTTAGAGTTTCATACAAATATCAACTCTTGCATACCTTTCATTTAACTTCAAAAGCCACCAAATTGTATCTTGTCCCCCATGAACTACTAACTTTCTTTGTATTATTTTAAAGCAAATCCCAGAAATTGATCTATAAGTAGTTCAGCATTTGTCTGTATCAGTTAAGGCTCTTTCACTAAACATTTTCAAGGAAATCTTGAGTACTTTGCTAAGAACAAAGAGTGAATCCAAAAACTTTGAATGTAAGCTGGAACCCAGAGAATTCATTCTTTGAGAACCAGTTCCTGAATTGATATTACTCTGTTGGTTTCTCCATCTCACCAGCATGGGATACTGAAGACAAAGGTCTGGAAGGGCTAACTGGGGGGGACAATTCCAAGAACTGCATTTGCAGCATTCAGGCTATCTGAGAATACCCCATCTCTCCCTGCCTTCTCCCCACTCTTGTGTGGTACACTGCAAATAAGTGACCCAGTGTTAGCTGGCATTGAAGGAGAGTGGGCATAGTTTATTGAAGAGAATTTTGAATCATAAGCCATGTCTTGTGGTGATATTTTATTTGTAATCTAACAAGTAAAGCTTGCCTGAAGATCAGAGGGCAGAGCTAGCCATACTAGTTAGCCCTAGACACCAGGCAGTGGTGGTGCACACCTTTAATCCAGGCATTTAGGAGACAGGAAGGCGAGATTGATTCAGTCTAAAAGAGAAACAGAGCTAGGCGGTAGTGGCTCATACCTTTAATCCTAGCCCTAAGGATGTGGAGGAGACAGGACTGATAAGGCTAGGTGGAGAGACTAATATAAGGTGGAAGGAGACAGAAGCTTCTGGTATTTTAAGTCTGAGGTTTCATAGAGACAGCATTCAGTATGAGGATTCTCAGGGACAGAATCGCCCCTTTGGTCTGAGGATTCAGTAGAGGTAAGAGGTCTCTCTTGTGGCTGGCACCTTTATTTCTCTGATCTTTCAGCATTTACCTCAATATCAGACTCTGGGTTTTTATTATTAAGACCAATTAGAATTCGAGATATAATGTCTTGAACATTTGAAGCCTGAATTCCCAAAAACCTGTGTATCTGAGAAACTATAGGCTGAGCAATGTATGTAAAGCTCCTTTGCACCACCAGGCTAGGGTCCTTTCACTTATGTCCCTGGCAGAAGCAATTGCACATCTTCTAGAAAAAAAAAACTACTTTTTAAAATCCTAGCTTTATATCTACTAAGGAAGTTGCGAGGAAAGTGACCAGTCAAGTGTTAGCACTCAGACACAAAGCAGTTTGAATGTCTTACTGAGAGGACCCAATAGCAGGAGCAGCCCTGTGGGGGCTGTCAATGAAGAGTTCAGTTAACAATGTAGAGACAACTGCAGACAACTTAGAACTGAAGGTAGGAAACCCAAGGTGCGATGTAAATGCACGGTAGAAAATGGGATATCATGAGTTGTGAGAGATAACCATGACTTACAAAATGAGTGTGGGTGAACGCTATCCACAGTAACAAATTTATAGCGACTCAACTTGTTGAAAATGTATGCTTTTGAGGCTGGAGAACTGTCTCTGGTTAAAAACACTCATTGCCCCTGAGGAGAACCTGGGGTCATTGCTCATCACTTCCATAGCTGCACATGACAGCCTGAAACTCCAGTTCCGGAGGATTCTTCTGAACTCCACAGCCATTGCATTCCTATGGTGTACAGACATACACGCAGACACTCATACACACAGGATAAACAATTTCTTTTTAAAGAAAATGCATACTAGATATGTCATCATGATGCTGTAGTATATCAAGGCAGAAGGATTATAAACAAGGATTAGTGTCCAAAGGATGTATATAAGTCCCTGTGGGTCAGAGACAGACAGACTGACAGAGAGACAGACAGACATATGCTCAGTAGTTCTTCACCAAGATAAAGTTAGAATGTCCAGTAAACATGAAACGATGTGCAAATTTGCCAGTAAATGAAAAGTAAAGCCAGAAGCTATTTGACACATCTACTAGGTTAGCAAAGTAATGTCTGGAGTGCTAGCCTTGGTGAGGAAATGGTACAACGGTGAATTGATGTAGCCATTTTGGAGGACAATTTGACAGTGCTTAGTAAATTTTAATATGTATATGCCATTTGTATCAGTCGAGCTTCTAGGATGTAGATTAAAATCTTTTTTTTTTTAATAGACTTAATTCACTTTATTTTTCTTGTATAAAATCCCTTATGTGGTGGCCACTGCTGGAGCCTGGGTCCTCTGAACAGAGACTCTGGTATGGGCTTTCACAAGATGGTCAGTGAATTCCTGACAAGGAGACTTGGTGAACACAGTCTCCTTCCAGAGGTCAGGGGTCAGGTAGCTGTAGGTCTTAGAGATGGCATCAAAGGTGGCCTTGGCAAAGTTGCCCAGGGTGGCAGTGCAGCCCCTGGCTGATGTGTAGTAGTCATCAATACCGGCCATCATCTGTAGCTTCTTAGGTACAGGAGCAGAGACGATGCCAGTGCCTCTGGGGGCAGGGATGAGATGCACCAATACAGAGCCACAGCGGCCTGTCACTTTGCATGGAACAGTGTGGGGCTTGCCAATCTTGTTCCCCCAGTAGTAGCCTCTCCACACAGGGACAATGGAAAGCTTGGTCAAGATGATGGCCCCTCGGATAGCAGTGGCTACCTCCTTGGAGCACTTAACACCAAGACCAACATGACCGTTGTAGTCCCCAATAGCGACAAAAGCCTTGAACCCGGTCCACTGGCCAGCCCTTGTCTTTAGAATCTCATCCTTTAGAGATGCCCCCAGGAAAAAGTCAATTCCTTAATGGGCAGAGAGAAAAGGTAGATCTCCTCCAGGGATTTGATCTTCATGTCCTTAAACAGGCGGCCCAGCTTGGTGACAGGGACCCACTCCTTGTCTTCGGCTTTACCTCCACGAGCCCCATGGCCTCGACTGCGGCCCCTGAGACCGCTGCTGAAGCCTCCGCAGAAGCCGCAGCGGCCTCCTAATCCTGGGCCCCTGGGGCCCTCCCGCTGCACCGGTGTCATCCGCCTTTTGGTGTTTTCCCGAAGTAGAAGCGTAGATTAAAATCTTATTAGTTTGCTTGAGATACTAGAAGCCTCTCTGTAGCAGAATTGTTTATAATAAAGCTGGAAACAAAATAGCGTTCATCATTTGATTAGTTGGATTAGTTCCAGCATTTTCATGGAGTAGAATATTGTAGAGAAAGTTAGTGTACTTCATTTATGCCCATTTACATGAATGCATCTTGTAAACATAATATTGGCAATAAACAAATCAGAAGTGTACGTGGTAGGATTCTAATAAAGTTCAAAACAGGAAAAACCAAAATACCATTTAAGGATTTGTAATTGATAGAAATTAAAGCATTGTTTGTTAAGAGAGTCTGAGTAGGGGCTTGGGAGATGGCTTAGTGGGTAAAATGCTTGCCATGCAAGCATGAGATCTTGGTTGGGCTCTCCAGAACTCACACTGCACACACACATGAATACCATTTACCTGAGGGGTTTGTGATCAGGGAACAGCATGTAGGAGGATTTTAAATTACTAGAAAGGTTTTCCTTCCAGATTCTGGTGTTGAGTTTATAGACATTTAACTATTCTTGAAACTACATGTAAGTTATATTTTTTTCTTTCGTGTGAACCAAAAAGGAAAAGTCTCAAGGATATACAGAGTAGACCTCAGTACCTCACTGAGTAATTCTGTTAAAGGCTTTCATTAAATACAGGATTTGAGGGCATAAAAAAAGGCCAGTTACATGAAAATACAGCAAAGCATCGGCAATCTCACCTTTGATTTTGAGGGTCTGTTAAAACTTCTATAAAATAAATTGTTTTGTTGTTGTTGTAATCTATAACCTCAGTTCTAGGGGTTATGTCTGTCATATGCCATGCATGCATTTAGGGAAAACATTCATACACATAAGGTAAAATTAATAAATCTAATACAAACTTAAAAAAATAAGCAGTTGCTCTCTACCAGTGGTAGCCTAACAAATTTTATGTTCTAGTGACATATCTCTTTTAACATCATTGACTGGCAGTCAGTTAGTTGGCTTTTCTGTGCATGTGTAATGTAATGTATAATGCATGTATATTGTAGCTTAAACTTCACCTACTTAGAGACATGCCTCTGATACAAGGCTTTTCTTCATCTCAGGTCATAATTACCTCTCATTTTTAACAAAATTAATTAAAGTTGTTTTTCTGTTAGTAACAAAGAGCTAGGCATGGTATAATCCCATTATTTAGGATGGGATGTCAAGTTTGAGGCCTTGTCTAAAAATAGAGAAAGGGAGAGGAGGAGCAAGAAGAAGCGAATTTTAATTAAAGGAGCCATTGACTTTTCCACACTAATACATGTATGGGACCTCTTGCAGGGTTCTATGAAGATAAGCCTGAGTTGAGTAATTTCTTTTGATGCTTGTATTACTACATCCACAATGAAATATGAGTCACTGCTTAAAAATATATTTTTATAGTAAAAGTATGTTAAAAGCAACTGAAAGCTTGAATCCCCCCCCCCCCCCCCCCCCCCCGTGCATGTGTATGCATGTGTTTCTGTGTTATAGCTGGGAACTTCTCCACTTCATCTGGCCGCACAGTATGGGCATTACTCTACCACAGAGGTACTCCTCCGAGCCGGTGTAAGTAGGGATGCCAGGACCAAAGTGGACCGGACACCACTGCATATGGCAGCTTCTGAAGGCCATGCCAGCATAGTAGAGGTTTTGCTTAAGGTATGTCTTTCTCTTTGAACTTAGATTTTGAATCCAAATCTATACAAACTTGATAAGATGAGAAAGGGGAAGAGTTTTATTAAGTGCTTACTTTTTGTTTTATCTTTGGTAGGGCATTTATTAGAGATGTATATAAGTCTGTCAAATGAATATTGCCTTACGTTTTCTTTGGGGGGGAAAACCTTCCTATAGGTATATTCTCAGTTAATTGTCAATCTTTGAAAGTCAGTCCTTTGGGTAAAGAACTTCCTTCATGCTTCAGAGTCCTATGCAGGGAAGATTAGTCTTGAATGGTTAGCAAGCAGATTAACAATTAAATTATCTTCAGTTATCTCAATATCAAAGGGTCACACAGAAGATCCTGAGGCAGAGTGACAGCCTTCATTCTTGACCTTTTTTGTCCTAGCCTGCAAATGAACCCATCTGAAAGAAATGTATGGAAGTCTAGAGTACAAATTACATGTAATCCTAGGTATTTTTAAAGTCACATTAAAAAGTAAAAACTCATTTTAATATTTAATTAACTTGGTGCATTTAAAACATCATTTTAACATGACAGCAGAATAGAGATCATTGCTGAGATGTTTCATAGTCTATTTGTTACTGAACTCCAGTGCTTATTTATACAGAACACACCTGTACCCTGTCTAGCGAAGTATGCTTAATAGCCAGCCACACCTTGCCTGGCTTATCAGATGTTGCCTTAGACAGCTTCCTTCTGATTTCTTAGGTCATGCTTGTTTTGAAAGCAAAGGGTATATTTAATTATGAGGGATGAGAGGATCACCCACAATTAACAAGTTCTGTAGAAAAACTCAGTGCTGCCCTTCACCTGTAAGGCTCTCCATCCCTTTGTGCCCCTAACTGAGTAACTGAATACATAATTGTCTTATTTCAAGAAATTGGAACTAGAGTAGCTGGGAAAACCAGCATGGTGGAAAAATGATTGAATCACAGATAATTGATGAGTACTAACAAATATTTATCTCCCCCCACCCCCAATTAATGGTGCCTTTTCTTGATTAGAAGCATTGTGGCTGCTGGTATTTTCATATCAGGGATTCTTTATATTTCCTATCTTGAAGTATTACTGATTTTGAAATATTTTTTAGCATGGTGCTGACGTCAATGCAAAGGATATGTTAAAGATGACAGCTCTGCATTGGGCAACAGAACATAACCATCAAGAGGTGGTGGAGCTTTTAATCAAATATGGTGCTGATGTACACACGCAGAGTAAATTCTGTAAAACTGCATTTGATATTTCAATAGACAATGGAAATGAAGATTTAGCAGAGATATTACAGGTAACTTGGCTTTGAGTTTAAGAAAACATGAAAGGCAGCTTGCAGACGGATGCTCTTTGTCTTGTAGCTTCTCCTGTTGGATTCAGTTCTTTTGAATGGCTTTGTTCTCTCCACTTCCGCTCTGTTCATTATTGTCCGTATTCTGGAAGGTTAGATGAGGCGCTAACCTTCTATGCTTTCAGTTTCTAAATTCCCTTTCTAGTCATTTATATTATTTTGCTGCACTTTTGAATATCATTTTATCAAAACAATTGTAAATTACTTCATTAAGATTTGATAACTAATATCCCTTGGATGAGTGATACAGTCTTTTTTTTTTTAAATCTCATTTTGTTTGTTTAAAAAATTAAAATTTATTGTGTGTGCATGATGTGTGGGGCGGGTATGTGGGGTTAGAGAATAGATATGGAGCCACTTCCATTTTCACGTGGGTTCTGGGGACTGAACAAAGGTTTTCAAGCTTTTAAGGCAAGCCCCTTTAAGCCACTGAACAATCCTGACCCCCCTTTTTATTTTAAATCTACTTTGTCTAACATTAATATATTCACACTTTCTAAAATCTAAGTTGGGATCTAGCAAGATGGTATGTTTCTCTATCGGGGTTTTCACTTGTTTGGGCTTAGATGCCCCGGAATGAGAATGTAAAGGTTCACTTTAGTTTATGGACTGAGCTGATTGACATTTTGGTTTTGATTCCTGTGAAGATGACCCTTTTCCCTTTCATCTCCTTTCTAATGGTGCAGCCTTTGGGAATTTCCCCAGGCAACCCTCTCCTCCTGAACCTGTCTCTTCCCTCAGCATCTCAAATATGGCTGAAGCTTTCAGTGGCAAAAACAGTAGATACAAGGTAGATACATCTGACTGAAAGTGACAGAACTTTGCCAAGGTTTTGTGATATAGTCTATTCTGGTTTCCTTCTCTCTCTTTTTCACCCCTCGTAAAAACAAACCAATATTTGTAAATGTAGTTATGTTGGCTTTTCTAGTGATCGGGGTCACTTCTTGTCTTCTTGTTCTGTTCTCAGTAGAACTCTCTAGATTACCTGACTTCATTGAATTTCTACAACTTACTTATAAAATATGCTGTATGCCTGGAGATAATGTTTCATATCTAGGAATACAATTTTAGGGTTGAGATTTAAAGACTGAGAACAATTAAGTGGGAAGGCTATCCTTTAATATATCATGTTATATATTGCCTAATGTGGTAGAAATAAGTTCAATAATTCTACAGAACAATGGACTTCCTTTAACTGCATACTTGCTCTGAGTTCTGTAAGAACCTTTTGTCCTCCAGTGAGGTTTGCTGTCACTCAACAGAAGGCCTTAGGATACAAGTTCATACCTATACCTGGAAATGCACTCTCGGTGCATCATTAACACGTCTTCCCGTTGTATTGTGTGGCTCTTCTGAGAGACTGTTTCTTCATTTGTGTATGTATATACTACATTGGGAACCTGTTCCATATGTGCTACCTGTAATTCTGAAAATATTGTGATAATTTGTTCCCTAGATTGCTATGCAGAACCAAATTAATACCAACCCGGAGAGTCCTGACACTGTGACAATACACACTGCCACACCACAGTTCATCATTGGACCTGGAGGGGTGGTGAACCTAACAGGTCTGGTATCTTCAGAAAATTCATCCAAGGCAACAGGTATTGAAATGCATGTGGGGCAGCTGTTAGGATGCTAAACATTGATAGGTATCCTTCAGTTTAAGGAAGGACTGTTGGAGAATGAGGGTAAGAATAATATTCACTCTCCTGGTCTCCTTGTTATTAAAAAAAACCAAAACAAAACAAAATTAAAAAAAAAAAAACAAAAAACCATTTTTTTCTGACATAAATGAATCTAAAGAAAGGCAGTCTTACACATGCATGACAATACTACCTTTCCAAAACCGATGCTACCCAGTGTCAGTTAAGACTTGGGGAAGAAGTAGAAGATTAACAGGATGCCCTGGGTGAAGCATCCTAAAATTTCAATTGTTTTTTTTTTTTTTTCCTTCTCCTAGATGAAACGGGAGTATCTGCTGTTCAGTTTGGGAACTCCTCTACATCAGTATTAGCTACATTAGCTGCTTTAGCTGAAGCGTCTGCCCCGTTGTCCAATTCTTCAGAAACTCCAGGTTAGAGAACAAGTCAGATCTATACACTGAGCATTTCAAGTTCAGCTCGACCTTTCCATAGTTCACTTTGTCACGGTTTCCTCTGTGCTTAGTACTGTTTGAACCCTGTTCAGAAACCTCTCTGTGGTTTATTAGAATATTTTGTTTTCTTCAAGAGTCTTTACTTAAAATTTGTGTTTACCTTTGCAGTTTGTTCAGAATTGGTTAGCTGCATTTCTTTCTACTTGTTTATTTCTTATTAGTTTTGATTTTTATTTTTATGTCAGTCACCAGTGTGACTCAATATCCTGATCCCATCTTTGTTAAAAATAAATAAGGGAAGGTGCATGTCTGAGTGCTTGCAGAGGCCAGGAAGGTAACAGAGGACTAAGTGGGATACAGGTGTACTCAGCTAATGGGAAGCAGAATGGGGCATTCACTGCTTGGCTCTCTGGAAATGTAGCCTTGCGTCCCATCTCGCCAGATCTTGTGTTTACGTGGGAACCTGGAGTGGTGGGGAGTTTTTGTTTTTTAAAGAATATTAAACCAGGCATGGTTTGTACTCCTATAATTCTAGCACCCCAGGCTAAGGCAGGGGAAATCACAAGTTGTGTTTCAGCCTGGGCTGCACAGTAAGATACTGTCTCAAAGGAACAAAAGACAAAAAGTAAGAGAATAAATGCATAAAAAAATACTAATTTTAGTAAAAAAACAAATGTGTGGATCACATAAAAAAAAAAAAAACATGTGCTTGCCCAATTTGGCTCTTGTTTTTTGTTGTTGTTATTTGTTTGTTTGTGGGGTTTATAAAAAATCATTTGTGACTTTTGTTTAAGTAGAGTAGATAAATGTGAATTTGTATTTTTATAAATTCAGCTTTGTCAGTCTTACATAAAAATATTAGAAAAATCTTAATGACTGAAACAGTGTATAAAAACACTGTTAAAAGAGTTAGCTGTGCCCTATGTGCTGGACATGGTGGCACCTAGCTTTAATCCCAGCACTTAGAAGGCAGAGGCAGATGAATCTCTCTGAGTTTCAGCCAGGCAATCTAGGACTACATAGTGAGATCCTGGCTCAAAGGGGGTGGAGTGGGGTGGGCTGATTTAGCTGTGTTAAATGATGACATGAAGTATTGACAGATAGTTGGTTCCAGCATGATTTGATTTTATACTCTCCTCAAATTGCCTTTTACAATTGTTATTGTGTAAGTAAGTTATTTTTCTTTAATTTGGAAATTTTAGGAAAGTCTTGAAGTAGTCAGGTACCGTAGTGCCTGCCAATAATCGAGCCTCTCAAGAGCTGAGACAGAATGGCTACTTCAAAGCCAGCCTGGATGATTCTGTGCCTCATTTAAAAAAAAAAAAAAAAAAAGAGAGAGAGACATGCACCTTAAGAAATGCTTTTTGTAACTGTAATTTAAATGATCATATTTGCTTTGCTTGTAAGAGTAAAGAATAACCTTTAATTCATTTTCTCCAGATTTTAATTAATAATAATAGATTACTGTTTGCATATTCTGTGGGTGAGATGCTGTGATGTTTTTACTTAGGGTGTCATTGAGTCTTTACCAGAAAGATTTAAAGTAGACATAAATGAATTTTCACGAAAGAGAAAAATCTTACCCTTTCCCCCTTTTCTTTGGCTAGTTAGTAGTGATGAGCATATATGTGTTCTCTTGCTTCCTGGCCGGTCTTTTCTGAATTACTTCTGGCCATTAGCACCTGCAGACATCACCATTTTGACATGCTGCATTTTTAGCTTGTACTTAGGTTTGCAGAAGTCATCAAAGACAGCTGGTTTCAGAGCTCTCTTAGTGGGAGAACATGTGTTCATTGTGCTTGAGGCACTGGGTTTTCATCACCAGTGAAAAGAAGGGGAGGAAAAAAACTAGAAAACTTTATTTCACTAGTGATTTAAATTTAGGTACGTTGTTTCAGTGCTCTAATCATAATGAAGAATTTGGGAGAGTTGAGGGAGGGGAGACATTAAGAGTGTGGTTGAAGCAAAAGTTCAGGTGGTTGTGTCACTGAGACGCATACCAATTATTGAAATGCAGTTATGATTCAGTTGGCACATGCTCAGTTTTCTGAGGTAGAGGGTTAACGTGAAAATAGTTTGAGTAAGAACGCTTGCTGTGCAAACATGAGGACCTGAGCTTGAAGCCTCAGCACCAGATGAAAGCCAGGTATGGCTGCATGCATCCATAATCCCAGCAGTGGGGGAGCAGAGATATGTAGATCCCAAGAGTTGGCACGCCAGCTAAACCAGCCAAAAGGGTGAACTTCTGTTCAATGGGACATCCTGTTTTACACCAATAAGGTGGGTAGCTATAGAGGAAGTCATCTGACAACCTGCCTTGGACTCTTCCTTGGCTTGCCTACACATACACACTCACCACACACATCCCTCCCCCGATAACTTTTCATAAAGATTTTATTTTTGAGCTCTAGCCTGTAGCCCTGCAACTTTTCTTTGCTTAGTTGTATTTTTTCCCATGGCCCAATTGCATAATACTTTGATTAAACGTAAATCTATGATTTCCTTCCTTTTTGTATTTAAAATTTGTAATTGCTAGATGTATTTCAAAGATATAAAATGCCTAGTGATGATTGAAAATTCTCTTTCTCAAAGTGAATTTTGTACCAGGAAACTTTTATACATTATGTTTTTAGATTGTTCCAAAATAGGGTAATGAAATTTACTTAGTCTTAGGAGATAAGTTACTGGGTCATGTGAGTCTCTTTGGTTTTACTTTTTTTCTTTGTTCTTAATTTCAGGTTACGTTATAGAATTCTACCTTCAAAATGTTACATTTTTCTGTAATGTAATTTCTGTCTCATGTAAATATTTCTACATAAAAGTGTTCAGTCTTGGTAGTTTTCAAGGAATGTTTTCTTATAGACCTTATTTCAACCTATGGCATGGTAATTCAACCTCAAAGGCATAGTCATTGTTTGGCTCTCCTCATTATAGCCCGACTTTTATATTAGATCAATGAATATTTATGATATTAAAGTTACTTTTTATTAAACCAATTTGTACACACATGCACACACTTTATATTTACAACCTTCTAAAGTTTTAAGTTTTTTTCCTTACATGTTCAAACATTTGGCTATTAGATTGTTCTCTAGGTTTGGGATGTGTACTTTGTCTTCTATAACTGTTTTCCTTTTAATTTTTTCATAAGTACTCTACCATAACACAACTTAAAAGAACTTTTTAGATGAAAGGAACTATTATTTTAATGACAGTCATTGCTAACAGTACAAAGATAAAAGTTCTTGAGTTGAGCTTTGGTTGTGTATGATCTCAGAAGTTTCTTACATTTGCTGAAGCTTTTAAATAGTACTACTTGTAGTTAGTATTCAACTGGTGAGCCTTTCTTTTTCATATGGATATTTAAAAAAATCAAAGCAATAGTTAGTGCATTGAAAACTTTAATAGTTACTCTATTGACTATATTGCCGTTGTGTGCTCTCTATTTTGTTTTGTGACTGTTTTCCTGAAATTGTCTTACATGCTTGGTAACAAAGCATAATTATTGCTTAGGGCAAACAAAATAATGAGAACACTCAAAGCAAAAGTTCATTTGTATTTTGAGATACTCTGGGCTTGTTCTGTGACCCTTTGGCCAAATAACACTGTTAGCAGCTTAAAGCCAGACCTTTTGTCAGATATGCTGTGAAAACAAGCTGTTGATAGGTACATCTCTCGCTTCATGCAAGTAATCTTTGATGTGATACTTTGGGAACATTTCAATATCCTGATCACCAAAGCATTTCACCAGTGTGATTGGCATTGACTAGTTAGTGACACTTGCTTGAGTGTCTAAGTCTTCTAAGATTTCTAAGTCTTTTTTCTGTGTTTGTTAGTTGTCATTTCTTCTGTCAAAAACTTTCCCTTTTTCACTCCAGTGAAATCACTGTTCAGTTCACAAGAGGAAGGCAGATAGATAGATAGTACCTGTGTTTTTCATTGCTTACAAATGTTTTTGTTACTTTCATCCATGCTTTACACATAGTTTTTAGAGACTTTATGGTGTTCCCATTATATAATGATCACAGTTTATTTATTGCCAATGAGTATTTGGTTATTTCTAGTTTTACCTTATAGTTATCTCTCTAAAGCTGTTAGGAATGCCAATGAGCATGTGGGAAGGGATTTTTGGCAAAAACTTGTTTGTTTTTTAACTTAGGCAAGGCCAAAGACAGTTTTTAACTGTCAGAGATCTCTGTGCACCTCTTAGATATTATTGAGAGCATGTTTGTGGGCTTGGTCATACAAAAGTTGAATTACACATTGCCATCTAGTGCCAACTCTGTTTCTTCAAGTGACCTTGCTCACTTTGTCCAAAAGGGACTCCTGTTTGTTCTACATATCCCTTGATATATAAATGTGTCTAGAGTTTCATCATAAAGGTCTCATTTGAATTGTGTAATTTTATTAAGTAGCTATAACTTTTGTTAATACTGTCAGTGATCTTATATTGTACTTCGGGTAAAGAAGATACAGAGAAGTGAAAAGATTATTAAAATATAGTCATAAAAAGTGGTTGGAACTCAATTATAAGTTGTGGGGCTTATAGTCATGTGCACATAGATGTTTATATCGCCATTGGTGATAACATTTAGAAAAACCATGTAAAACTTGTCCTATCTGAAAGACACTGACAAAGAAAAGAATTTATGTTCATATTCAATGATTTTTACTTTCTTTTCTCCCCCTAGTAGTGGCCACAGAGGAGGTGGTTACTGCAGAATCTGTGGATGGTGCAATTCAGCAAGTAGTTAGCTCAGGAGGTCAGCAAGTCATCACGATAGTTACAGATGGAATCCAGCTGGGAAACTTGCATTCCATTCCAACCAGTGGAATGGGCCAGCCCATCATTGTGACCATGCCTGATGGACAGCAAGGTTAGTACTAGATGTCTGTGTGAAGTCTGTTTGCATTTAGTATTCAGGATACTGTGTTTACAAAACAATTTTATGCACTGAATTTTACTCTCATAACCTTTTACAATGGTTATAATTGCCTGATTTTTTTTTAGGCTGGTATCAAAATTATCTTACTTTGAGCACTTGAGTAGGTAGAATTAACCTCAAAATATTATTTGAAAATGAACTTTAAATATTGCCACAAACAATACACAGATAATCCATAAGCAGCATTAGACAAGTTTTTAGACCATTTTATGCAATTCAGATATCACAAGAACTTAAAAAAAATATACCATTTAAGAAAAGCCTACTAAAAGAACAAATTGAGGGTGTGGCCCAGATTACTAGTAGGTGTAGAGCTTGAGAAGTGTGGGCAGCTGGGAAGCAGAGCTCTGGAAGTGTGGAGACAGAAACGCAAGAAGATGTTCCTGTTATAAAGACGGCAGTGGTCTTGTGTATAAGACCAGAGGCCTTTACTACACCCATGTCCAAGCCACAAAATGTTGTTGCGTAGAACTGAAGAGAATTGTGTTCTGTGTGCACTTGTGAGCCATATTCTCTTTCCAGTGATACTTATGGTTAACCATATTCCTAGAAACAGCCAAAAGATGGAACTGTTATTTTAAAAAATGTTTGGGTGCACAAATGAATATCTTTGCCCAAGATGCTCACATAGTGAAACAGCCAAGATATAGTTGGTCAGTAAACTTGCTTTTGATTTAAGTGAATTTCAAAAAACAAAACAAAAAAACAGGAAAGAAGTGTTGATCGTATTCCTAATTTGAGTTTGGAAAAGAGACCACATTAAAAATGAGCCTGAGAAATGAGACAGGTAGGCATTTGTATTCTTGGAATACACAGATCTGCTGATAACAAGGGTGACTGTGGGGCTCTATTCTCTTGGTATAGCAGTACGGTGTACAGCTATGGAAACCATGACCTGGTGTGTCTTCTATTCACCAGCACAGAAGCCCAGGAAGAATGCTTCAAAGCCAGAGGCATTTCTTGGAGAACACCAAAGCATTAAGTACATGCTTCATGAAAGAGTTAGTATGAACATCAAAAGAGCTTGGTACAAATTGTCTCATTATACACATGAAATGAATATCAGAGGAGGTTACAGGAGGGCAGATGAGACTCAAGCATCCTGTTCCTATGTGTGTGCATGCTGTTCCTGGATGGACGGACACACACACACACACACACACACACACACACACACAGAGAGAGAGAGAGAGAGAGAGAGAGAGAGAGAGAGAGAGAGAGAGAGAGAGAGAGAGCTCCTAAAGGGGATTCCTGCCTTGCTGGTTCTAGGACAACTTCCCAGAGAGGTCTTCTACCTTCTTCTCATTCTAGGCTAGGGCAGGCTGAGAATCTGCCATTGCATGTGAATCCTAGGGATGTTCTGAAGACATACAGTATTGGCATCTTATGAATTTCCTTGGGGCCAGTAATGGACTGATGGGGAGAATCCTTGAAGGTTTGAATTGGGTGCTGTGGTCCCACTTAATAAGGTCATGAGGAAGTCTAAAATCAGAAGAGTGACAGCACACTTTCACTGCCCATCCCCTCAGTCTCAAGGCGATGTGTCAGTACAGGCTGTTAACAGAAGGGTAAGAAGAGACATGTGGGCACCAGCTGTTTGATATGGTGGATGAACAGACACCACCTTGAAGTGTTCAGGAACCAGGGGCAATCTCATTTTAAGTGTGGCAAACTTATCACTTGCCACTTTGGCTTCTGTGGGAAGTTCTCCACCAAATTAGATGACTTGGCAATGATAGGGGAAAAAAGTCAAGTTATATTTCCTGTTAATAGCAAGAAGACTTCAAAGCTGTGGAACCACTTTTCTGTTTGCCTGCAAAGTCTGCTAGCATGGTGTGGCTCGCATTGTGGTCAGACTGTCTGTGTGGACAAGAGGGTCATATGCTTGGGCACAGCTACTTCCTGAGATTTCCTTAGTTCCTCAGCCACACACTGAAGACCAGCATCTTAGAGAACATGCTGCACTTTGGAGTACATGTCATCGGGAGTTTCTTCCCTTGGGGACCCCACTCAAGATTTTTATAGCCTTTACCCGATTGTAAAAACCAAACAAAGCAACTCACAGCCTTATAGTGGAACCCATTGCCCTTGCCTTTCAGTTCATACCCCTTGTAGGCAGTGTTAGCTATAATAGGTTCCCTGAAGTCTTGATTCCTTCTTCTGGCATGGCTATTCCAGGTATGAGCTATGTATGGCAGTGTGGAACCAATAATTATAAAAGGAACTGACCTTTGGTACCTGGCCCACTGGATTACCTTTATATCCATGGTCTAACTTCATTGCATGCACTGTCAGAGTTAAGTACTTTTAGACGTTTTGTAGATTGACTCTAACAGTGACAGTATTCAGAGGAAATTAGACTGTTGGAAAGCCTAGGAGACCTCCATTAGTGTCCCAGTGCTTTAAAACCCATGGCTATTTGTTACTCGGTGGCATGTGTGCAGCAATCTGCTGATGAGTGTCCATGTCTCTGACTTAGCTTCTCTGTAGAGTAGACTGCAGAAGCTGGGCACTGACACTGCCTGCCTCTCTTGATCAAATTCCGGCTAAGGCGGTTTTAAAGGAGAATGGATTAATGTTCTTGTTGTTTGTGTGGGTTTTTCTTGTGAGGCAGAGTCTTATATGGCTGAGTCTGCTCTCAAACTTAGTATGTAGCTGAGGTTGGCCTTGAATTCTTGAACCTCCAGTATCCATGTATCTGAGTGCAGTTTTATACTAGGACTCCAACACCCAGCTGCACACTTCCCCCGCCCCCATAGAAATGATTGAGCCAATGTGGCAATTTTAGAGATACCCAAAGACATCATCATGAAAAAACAGTAGCCAGATTTCTTTTGCTTTCATTTATAAAAAATGATGTTCATTTTTTCACTTCAATTAAGTATTCTGGGTAGGATAGATCTTTCATTTATCTATAGAAAAGTTACTGCTTTGGTAAAGTATGCTCAGTCTAAGTTTCTAGGGACTATGCGTTGGTATGTTTATAAATTTATAGTAAGCATTAACCTTAAAATATGTGTCTTTAATATTATTTTGGCCTTTCAGCTGTATGGATGAGTATATTATGTATAAGATTGCCATCAGTAGCCACTTCAGTGAGTGGGCTTCAGTGAGAATGTGAAGGTGACCGATAGGGACCTCTTCATACAAGAGCAGTGTTTGAAAATGACTGAGATGCTTGCTGCAGGCAAGTAGCACTAGCAGTATCAAAACTGTATCTCTTAGCTGTCTGGGCTGACATGACGTGTACATCTTTTTCATTTTAGTATTGACCGTACCAGCAACAGACATTGCTGAAGAAACTGTCATCAGTGAAGAGCCACCAGCTAAGAGGCAATGTATGGAAATAATTGAGAACCGGGTGGAATCTGCAGAAATTGAAGTAAGGAGCCTTTTACCCGGTGTGTTTTGCTGCAGTCATCCAAAATGAATAGTTTCTATCATTATCATTATTATTATTTGTCGTTTATATTTATTACTGGCCATGTTTTGATAAAGAGAGAAAGTGAATAGTGTCATCATTTTGTTTTAAGTTTTTGGCCTCATGCATATGGCAAACCCTCAATAAATAAATATTGAATGAATGATTGAGCAAAGAATTTGTAACAAAGTTTTGTTATGCTGGTAACGCTTGGATTGTCTTTGGTTCTTGTTAAATGTATGCCTACCATTTTTCAAGTCACTAAAGGAAAATATTCCTTTAGACTGAAAATTCTTTCCTTTCAAAAATGTTTCTCCCTGATTGGCCTGGAAATTCCCTTACTGAAAGTTAATGTTTGCTAAACAGATTATGTTTGTTAAGTATGAAAGATAACTGATTATTTTACTAATACATCCTTTGAGGAAATTGAGTTAATTTAGAATACTGATAACATCTAGCCTTTTTTCCTCTCCCAAACTCATTTGTTGGTGTGACATCATAATTTCTTAAGTTTTTCATATGTGACTGTAAATAAAATTCCATCTACCAAATTTATAATGTCTCACACAAAACATGATTCTTACATAACTTTGAAGAGCAAATACAATTTGAATTGGAAACGGCTCAAGTTCTTGACCTATATCAGCTTTGAGTCTTGGAATTTATTTTCTCCTGAATTAGAATGTTGATGAATATTACTTCATTTTAGGGTTTTTAATGAGAATGGGTAAAAATGGGTAAAGTCAGCACCTTCTTTACCTTCATGCATCTGATGTGTATAAAGCTGATGACTGTGTTTAGCTGTTCTTGTCAAAGGCTCTGGTTATCACAGAGAAGGGGTTTGTTTCTTTTGGTAAATGAATGGCAACACAATCTTATTAAAGACAGCTAGAGTATATTCTCATGTATTTAAATAGCAGACAGGTACATTGTGGGCATAATCACAAGTATTGAAGTGAACAGAGTGTAGTTATGAATAAAGCCTGTCTTAAAAGCACACACACAGACATAACACACAAAAGAGTCTGGCTAATGGTTTAACCAGGATGTCTAGTAAAATTTTAAGTTTTAACTATTGAGTATGGTGTTTTATTTCTCAAAATTTAAAGTGACACCTATAGGATAGTTCTGATTTACAAACTAAAAACTTACTTCACTAAGCAGTATCTTATTCCTTTTCTCACTTTTGTGTTTTTGTGGTATTAGTGTGCATGCATGTGGAGGCCAGAGGTTGATTTTGGGTGTCTCAGTCACTCTCTTCCTTGCTTTTATATTTTATTTTATGTGCATGAATATTTTGCTTGTATGTATGTATGTATGTATGTGTACCATATATGTTCCTGGTGTCTGCAGAGACTAGGATCATTGGATACTCTGAAACTAGAGCTGAACGTGGTTGTGAGCCTTCATGTGGGTGCTGGGAACAGAACCCAAGTCTTCTGCAAGAGCAGCAAATGTTCTTAACCTATGACTCATCTCCCCAGCCTTCCACCTTGTGTTTTTGAGACAGGGTTCCTCACTGAGCCTGGAGCTCACCAGTTCAGCTAGACTGGGATATGGGTTGAGGGGAGCAGCAAGCCTCATGGGTCCTCCTTTCTCGGCCTCCTTGACACTTGTGATTATAAGTGTGTACCAAGCCCAGCTTTTTCCATGGGTCCTTGAGATCCAAACTTAGGTTCTCATGGTTGCACAGCAAACACATTACTGACTGAGCATTTCCTCACTCCTAAGGTTCTCTTTACTATCCTTTTCTGATTGTTAGGTGGTCTCTTTGGAGCATAGAAAGTTGAAAAAAAATTAATAATTTGTTTCCATTATATACTAAAACATGTCAATTATTTGAATGTCATTAAATGTAAGTATAACAATTTATGTATTTGGTTTTTTGAGACAGGATTTCTCTGTGTAGCCCTAGCTATCCTGGAACTCACTCTATACACCAGGTTAGCCTTGATCTCACAGATACACCTGCCTCTGCTTCTCATTAAAGGTGTGCACCACCACCACCAGCTAACAGTTTGTTAAACAATAGTGGTTTTAGCCTATCCCTTTATTCATTAATGACTAGTGGTCCTGTTTCCTTCCAAGTCCAGCCTGGATCCTTTTCTAGTCTTCCAGAGATAAGAGGATGTAGTTCCAGGTAAACAAGAGAGTAGGACTTAAGGTACACTAATAAGTGGAACCAAGAAATAAGCTTTAGGGAGATTGGGTTTAATTTGATATAAAGAACAGTGGATTTTTGTTTGTTTTGTTTTCAATAGGACTTTCTGGTATTGGAAATCTTTCTTTCCATCACAGGAAATGCTTAAGCCAAGGCCATGTAACCCCTTAGAGTTGTATAGACTTTGATGCATAGAATAAGATGTGGGTAGAGGCTGTGATACCCTGACAGCATTAAGAATTTATGTCATTCAAGCATATTAATAATGCTTAGATTAAAAAAAAAGATAAACTTTCATGTTTAATTCATGCACAATTTTCACAGGGCTTTTTCTGTATTGTGCTCACAGCTGACAGAGTGACTGTCTATAAGAATTTTCTTTTCTTTTAGGGGGTTGGTTATCAAGACAGGGTTTTTCTGTAGCTTTGTAGATCAAGTTGGCCTCAAACTCACAGAGATCTGCCTGCCTTTGCCTCCCAAGTACAGGGTTTAAAGGCGTGCACCACCACCACCGCCTGGTTAAGAACTACGTTTATAAAAATTAGGTCATTTATCTCATTTGGACAGTTGATTTTTATGTGCAAGCAAATAGCTCAGATAAATACCTGGCCTAGCTTTTCTCCATAAAAACATTGGGATTTGAGGCTGAAGGGACAGCTCAGCAGTGAAGAGCACTGGCTGCTCTTGCAGAGGTCCTGAGTTCAATTCCCAACCCCTGTAAACAGTTCACAACTGTTCCAGGGGTTCTGACACCTAGTCTTCATAGGCACCTGTGCTCTCAAGTACATATACCCCCCCACATATATACAAAAATATAAATAATTAAAAAATAAATTCTAATACCTCCAAGGGAGATATCATAATCATGAAGCTGTTTTTCCCAAGGCAAGGCTCATCCATTATGTTGTGGCTGTGATTTCTCAAACTTGGCATAATTTGTGGTAGTGGGGGAGTGCATTTATATGCTCAAACTACCTGCAACTCCAGATCCAGGGGACCTAAGAGCTTCTGGCCATACAGGTACTTGCACTCACATGCATACGGCCCTACACAGATACATAAATACCACATAATTAAAAATAAAACTGTGTTGTGTGTTGGGCTGACCAGATGTCTCAGCAAGTAATGATTGCCATGCAAGCCTGTTGAATGAGTTCGATCCTTGAAACCGATGTAAAGGTAAAAGGAGAAAATCAGCTCTACAAAGTAGTCCTTTGACCTCCACACATTGACACATGCCCACATACACATTGTACACACTCGATAATAAATAGTAATAATAATAAGTTAAAATTTAAAAATACACCTAATAGTTAGGGATACAGGCTTAGACTTAACTGTAGGTTTGAATTTTCTGATATTTTGAATGTGTGACCTTGGCCCTCTTGCCATTTCAAATCATAGCCTCTGCATCAAGAAGACAGAAAGTGAATAGCATCAGCAAGTGATTGAATATTAAGTGAAAGCAAAGCCTGGTGTGGTGATGATGCCTTCAATCCCCTCTTGTGAGTTTGAGGCTAGCCTGGTCTACATAGTAAATTCTAGGCCAACCAGAGCTACATAGTGAGACTCTGTCTCAAAGAAAAGAAAAAGATGAATTGGGGACAAATACAGGATAAGTATAATGGTGAACATATAGTAAATGCTCAATAAGTAACATTTATTAACAAGATTATGCTAAAATGTGTGTTGAGGTAGAAGATAAACTATTATAATTGTGTCTTTCAGTTTATAATAGCTAGAACAAATACATAAATTTGAGTATTAGAAATTTATTATAAACATGGTCAAATTATCCCACACCATTGCTTTTAAGGCAGAATTAGAGAATCACCTTGGAAAATAAAGAGAGCTGAAATCTCCTATTACCTTATGGTTGTTACCTAATATACTAATTCAGGGTTATGGTGTATCTTGTTAGTGTTAGTCTTGATTATTGCTAGGGTTTAGTTTTCTTAGAGGTCTGTGATGTTAGACTTCTTTTCCTGCAGTACTGGGATTTGAACCCAGAGCTTCCTGCATGCTGTGCAGCTACAACCCATCCCTGAAACAGTACCTTAGGATCACATATCAACTGATTAAGTTATTGTTTCATGAAAATATCAGAATTGGAGTCTGGAGAGATGGCTCAGCAGTTAAGAGCTCTGGCTCTATTTTCAGAGGATCCAAGTTCAATTCCCTGCACTAATATGGCTGCTCTCAATAATCTGTAACTCCAGTTCTAGGAGATCTGATGCCCTCTTCTGGCCTCCTTAGGCACTGCGCTTACAGTGCACAGGCACACATTCAGGCAAAACACCTGTACCATTTACATAGAATAACACAGTAATATATCAAAACTGGGCCAACAAGAGGCTCAACAGGTAGAGGTACTCACTGTGCAAGCCTGGCACCTTGGGTTTGATCCCAAGTCTGTGTAAGGGTAGACGGAAAAAAACTGACCCCAGATAGTTTCCTCTGATCACATATGTGCCATAACACATGAGCACACACAAGCTCACAATAAATTTTAAAAGTATAAAAATCAGTGTGGCTTTAAAATATTAGATCTATAGGAGTAACATTTATATTTAAATGAAAATGTCAGCTGTTATCCTGTTGTACTACTATTGTGTGAAACACTACTGTGTAAAGAAACTGTCTTTTATGAAATATGTTTAGTAACTATGACATCAGAAACAAAGATCTCTGGTAAAATAAATAACATTTCCCATTTCTCAGACTATTATTTGCTTTAAAAACTGAGATGGCAAACAAGTTCTCACTCCATATTTCTGCATTTCTGAGAAGTCAAAGGCACAACCCTAGAAGTCTGTGTTTTATTCATGTATTCAGCACATTCAACAAGTACTAAGGGTCTTTGACTTTACATTTTACAGATTTAGACAAAAACAATGCAGCCAAAGTGAGTCTCTTATTTGGCCTAGTAGTTGAAAGGTAGTTATTACTATATTTGTATTAAAATGTATTTTACTTACTGCTCAGTGGTTGAATACTAGGCTGAATACACCTAGAATGTGTGAGGTCCTGGGTTTGATCCCCAGCTCTGTGTTTTGTGTGTGTGTGTGTGTGTGTGTGTGTGTGTGTGTCTGTCTGTCTGTCTGTCTGTCTGTCTGTCTGTGATTGAACTGAGACAGGAAGATAGGATTAAGCCATTTCACTTTTACACTGTTTGTGTGTAAAGAGTGTAAAAAGCACACTCCTTTGCTTTTGTCTTTTGCAGTGGTAGTAAATTTGCAAATGCCAGGTGTTAATAAATAGCTAATACTAGATGATCCCTTACAATCAGTTTGTTCTAATACTTGGTATGTAATTAGAAATTTTATATATATTCAAAACATTGATTGTTAAAAGACCTTATTTCTTAATCCATGGAAACTTTAAAAACATTTTATTTTTATTTATTTATTTATTTATTTATTTATTTATTTATTTATTTGTATGTGTGTAGCCATAGTGCTGGTCCCTGGTGAGCTCAGAGGCATCAGATCTTCCTGGAGCTGGGGGGAAATTATGGAATGTTCTTGAGTTTGTATGTTGTCCTTGTATGAGGGCCATGCTAATCTCTTTATTATTCCAATTTTAGTGTGTTGCCAAAGCAAGCTAAGCCTGCTCCTCCCAGAAGTAGGTCTTGATCCTAGGGAAACACAACCAAGCCCCTACCCTTTACCTCTGTCCCTGATCATTGGCAAGCTCAAAAGTCCTACATAGGTCACAGCCAGGTCCAGTGTTGATTGCTTCCCTGAGACTTGATTCTTAAGTGTTTCCAACTTTCATCTTTTGGGTATCATCTTTTCTAGCATTATGGTCTAAGAGAAGGGAAGCAGCACTGTAATGTATTAGGGTAGGGCTGGGTATTGCCGAAACTGGAAATAAAGGGCATTCCTTTAACGAACTTCTCAGTCACTCCCATATCTGTTGGACCCATAGGAATCTGAAAAATATTAAATCTAACTCATTCTTAGTACAGGACAGTGGGTGGGATCATAGGGCGAGAATGGATGGGGGGAGGGAAGGAGGAGCTGCTTGATCCTCCTGGTAGGAGCAGCTGAGCAGTAAAGCAGAGGCAGTGTCTATGTAGGAGGCAGTGGCTATGTAGGAGACCCTACAACTGTCCTCAAGGAGCTCCCTCACCTTCTGCTCCCTCTGGGCATGTGTGCTGCTTGGTATAAACCTGGCCTTTTCTCATAGTTCTGGCCCCTCCCTCACTAGCAGATCATAGCACTTTGTGATGAGGTTACTTCATTCCTAAGACAGGAAACTTCATTCCTAAGACAGGCCTGTGTGTGTTGGGTTTTCTTCATGTGCTTACAGGTTTACATAAAGGTTCTTTGAAATGTTGGTCTCTTTTTCCTTGATAGTAGAGGTGCAGTGAAGAGAAGAAATAAGTATACTTATTTTCATTAGACTGGATTTGTATATACTGGCTCTTAATAACTGAGCCTGTTTAACAGTAGAAGGTTATTAGAGAGAGTAGCCTTTTATGGGCTGACCACTGTATGACTTTCCAAGTCTAGACCAGCACCCATTGTGATGGAATTGAGCTATTTTGTTTGGTAGTATAGAGGAGCGTGGGTTGTTTTGGAATTAGTAACATTTGAAACCCATAAACCCAGTTCTTATGGTGTTCTTGGGAAGGCTACATCATTTCTGAGCATTACTGTTCTCATTCATACCCTGACACATGAGAAAGCAAGTCATAGAATTGCCTTTGCTCAGCAGTGTGGTAGGTGCCCAACTGTGTGATTATCTGAGTAGAGATGAGGGATGTGCTTATACAGTTTCCTTTTAAGTTGTCTAGTACTTTCTTCAGTACACACAGAAGTACAGGTGCACATTTTTATGTTCATCCCATTCTTATAAACTAGAAATGATGTTCTTGAAATTAGAGAATAATCTCCATTTCATAATATAGAGAACAAAACTGGGGGTTTACTTGTGAATTGGTTGAAAAGGTAAAACAAAGTCTTGGAGGTACCAGTAGGCAGCTGCTATGGCCACTACACGGTGCCTTGTCTACCTGTCTTGTCTTTTTTTGTTTTTGAAGGATACATGATAATGTTAATGTATTTGTGCAAAAATTGAAAATGACTTTCTTTTCTAAATTAGGAGAGAGAAGCTCTTCAGAAACAGCTGGATGAGGCAAACCGTGAGGCACAGAAATACCGACAACAGTTACTCAAGAAGGAGCAGGAGGCAGAAGCCTACAGGCAGAAACTGGAGGCCATGACACGCCTCCAGACCAACAAAGAAGCTGTCTAGCCACCGAGAACAGGAGTTTGACTTTACCTTTTGTCCAGAATGAATGCAGTCTTGAACTGTACACAATAAGGACACAGCCATGGAATACCGAATAATAGAAAATACTACAGATTGATAATGGGACTTAAGCCATGAGCTCTGAATTCTTGTAATATAAAAAAAAAAACTTTAGAACTTGTGATATGTATTTAAAACTGAATTCTGTAAATAGTTTTTTGGTTGTTTCTTTTTTTACAGTTACAAATGAGTTGATAAAAGATTGTTGAGATCCAAAAAAAAAAAAAAAAAAAAAAAAAAGAAAGAAAGAAAGAAAAAAAAAAACCACAGTAAAGCACTGTTACAGGCAACTCTTCTTGATTTGGGTACAGACTTCATTTCTCAGAAACAGAAGTGTTAAGGGTGGTTGTTGTCGGTTAGACCAAATGTGTAATAATTATGGTGGACTGATACTGGAAATAACTCTGCAAAGAGATTTCTCCCAGGAACTTTTGTACAGCTTTTAAGTTGTCTCAGGTTCTCTGAAAACATTTTTTAGGAAGCAGAAATTTTATATTTGTTCAATTTCAGCTACACGCAAGTAGATTTACATGTATATGAAGCAAATATTTTTAAAATTTTGTTTGTACATATTCTGCATGTTTCATGATTTTAAAACACATCACTTGCTTAGATATGTTTCCCACAAAGACGATGAAAGTTACCGAGAAATATAAAAGGCACCACTGTTGTGTTGGTCACCGAAAGTTAGTAAGCTAGCAATGGTTTTACTGGCAACCATGACAATGTTCTTGGAAGGAGCAGCTTGCAAGAGAACTTGAATCTGGAAAAAATCTATGCTGTTTGGAAAATCCCATTGTGGGGACGTGAGACTGTACTCTGTGCCTTCCATCATGATTCCCACATACGCACTTTGAGGCGCTGGATTTTAAGATAATGTTTTTGGCAAACTCAGTGCTTTGGGTTTCTAAAATATTTCATGGACTTACCCCCCCCCCCCAAGAAATTATTCTTATGAAAAATTGCTTTTGTATGTAGAACAGAAACTTTTTGTACTCAGTGATGCTATAGATACGTTTAATGTCACTTTCGCTGTTCCCTGTGAAAGCTCCAGGCCTTGTTGCAACTCAGTCTCATCACACTGTGTTGTCCGTTCCACCGTGTGTGGACATTTGACAGAGTATTCCATTCTTTTTTGTAAAGTGTAACTTCAAGCTCTTTATTTTTTGTTTTGTTTTTATTGCTTTATGAAAATGTTTAACCCCAAAACTACTCTAGATTATCTGTATAAAGAACCAATTACCTTCAAGACTGTACTCTGGCCTCCTTTTCTATTTTACAATTAAATAACTTTCCACATATGCTCAGTGCAGACTTGTGTTTTGACTGTATATTCTTCACACATTAAAATGTGGGCGATAGAGCTCCGTGGAGGAGCAGACCCTTGTTGGTGCTTTCGGACTGACTCAAATCCCAACACACATATAATCTGAGCTACCTTCTGCCACATAAAAACAAGTAGATGCTTCATGCCGTAAAAACCCCCAGAGTGACTCCTTGGGAATGTGATGGTTCTCTCATCCCAGTTATCCTTACAGAAGGTAATGTAATACAAGGCTCTGGAGCCTCAGCCTGATGTTGTTGCTTTTCTGGAGAGCACAGCTTGAAGCCCCTTGACAAATATGAAAAGACTGTAAGGAAGAGAGTTCCTTTCACTGTTTCACTAAATTTGACATTAAGTTTATTCACTTTGAAATGTAGCCTCACTTCCAGTCTAGTCTCCAAGTCATGAATTCTGGTGACCTTCCCACCTCAGCCTCCTTAGTTCTGGGGGCCTAAGCACATGCCACTACACTCGTGTTGGTGTAGTTTTCCAGTCCTGACTGCTCTCAAACACTGGCAGCCTCTTCCCAAATAATCAGGGACTTAATATAAATTATAAGTGCTTGGCCCATAGCTCAGGCTTCAGCTGGCTGGCTAGCATCTCATCCTCAATTTGTTTGCCCCACTTATATTTCTTGCCTGGCCATCAGCCAATCAGTGTTTCATTAAACCAATTCAAGTGACAGATCTTTACAGGGTACAAAGAATTATTCCACATGCTCGGCTATGACAAGCAGAGAGGGAGAGAGAGAGAGAGAGAGAGAGAGAGAGAGAGAGAGAGAGAGAGAGAGAGAGAGAGAGAGAGAGAGAGATCTGTGTTGACCTAGCCAGTCTTGAAGTTTTAAATTCAGGTGATCTTCTACCAGGTACCTGAGATGACAGGGGTAACCCTCCATCATCTTTACGTAAATGTTAAATGATCTAACACTAGATCTTAGGTCCAGGGCCTGTAGCTCAGGGGTGGAATGCTTACCTAATATACCCGAGGCCCCTAACTCAGTCTCCAGCATGACAAGCAAAATGCAAAATGCTGAGTTTAAGAAACTGAAAGCCACATTTCATCATCATGAAGCTGCTTGCTCTTTAGTCATAGGGCACTGGAGAATGTGTGGTTTGGTTTGTGTAGTAATTAATGTTAGGCAGAAATCTGCTGCACATTTAATTCTTTGGCAGGCAGGATTGGGACAGAGGGGCTGCTGTATTCAGGGAGTGGCCAGTGCAATTTTGGTCCCAGATTAGATTTGCTCTGAAAAGCCTCATCTGATCCACCGTGCTGAGAAAGCAATACTGAGATGAGAGTCTGTAATGGAAAAGAGGTGCCTCCATACCCCTCTTTTTTCTTCTACTTTTAACAGTTTTCAGGTAGGCTGGGAAAGCCTCAGTGTTGTTCTGACAAAACATGAAATAAAAAAGTTTAAAAAATCTACAGTTGTTTCCAGTTCACAATGATGATGTTGCAATTAACTGTTGTCTGGTTGTCATGCACTGGCTCTTCCCACTTGTGTAAACAAGCCCCTGGGAGCAGCCTTTCTTTGCAGGAGTCTATGCAGGAATGAAGCCATTGAGTAGGGTCTAATGTGTTGTCTTTCATTTTCACCTTTTGCTGTACACCCAGAATGGGGTTTGTGGGGTTTTTTTTTTTCCTTTTTATTCTCTAGATAGTGACCTCAAAGGACTTCTCTAGCATGTATGTGTGTGTGTGTGTGTATAGAGGTGTGTGTGTAGGTGTGTGTGTGTGTGTGTGTAGGTGTGTGTGTGTGTAGGTGTGTGTGTGTATGTATAGAGGTGTGTGTGTAGGGGTGTGTGTATGTATAGAGTGTGTGTAGGTGTGTGTATATGTGTGTAGGGTGTGTGTATGTAGGTGTGTAGGGGTGTGTGTATGTAGGGGTGTGTGTGTGGTGTGTGTGTGTAAGAGGGAGGCCAAGTGACCATGCAGCCTGAGCCTTCCACATGTATCACCATGCTTGGCTTCACAGCGTGTCTGGTGGCTGGACCTTTAGGGTTAGTCTGTGCTTTCAGAAAGCCTCGTTTGAGGGATGTCACCTGCAGGGACTGTGCTTCTCAGCTGATTTTCATGTGTTGCTTTCTATTAACATCTTACATTTGCCGAAGACCTATGGTGCTGGTTGTCTGGCCTTTGGCTTCATTTATATCAGTCTCTCACTATATAATGGCAGGTGCGTCAAGCTCTTTTCTTACTCTCTGCTGGCTTGCTCTGTGTGTGTGCGCACGCATGTTCATGCAGGCATGTTTGCACATGTGTGGAGACCAGAGGGCATTAAACCTCTCTTCCTGTGTGTGTGGACACAAACCTACATGTTCATGCTCATGCATGGCACTGTATGTGTGCTGAAGCTGATTCCCTTCCACCATGTGGAATCTAACTAGACCATCAGGTTTGGTAGCAAGTGCCCTAACTCTGAGCTATCTTGAAGGGCCACACTTGGCTTTTTCCTTTTAAATGATTTTAAGTTTATTTTTATTTTATTGTGCTTGGGTGTTTTGCCTCTTTGTATGTAAGTTCATGCAGTGCCCACAGAGGTCAGCAAGGGACATTGGATCACCTGGGAACTGGAACTACAGGCCATTGTGAGTCACTATGTGGGAGCTGGGAACTGAACCCAGGTCCTCTGGAAAAGTAGCAGATGTTCATAACCGCTGAGCCATCTCTCCAGCCCACACACTTGGTTTTGTAAATGTGTGTTCTGGATCACACTCAGGTTGCTCTGTTTCTTGATGGTGGTAGGAGGTGAGAGAGCTTTTTCTTTTTTTTAATTTTATTTAATTTTTTTATTATTTTATTTAATTTTATATAACAAAGTCCAATTAAATGAAAACAAACATTTATACACAATATTTGGGAATTTGGGCATTGTTCTTTCCAAACTACTTCTTGCTGGTAAGGGGCACTGTCATGGGGGATTCGAAGAAGATTCAGATATCCTGGCTGTAGTCTGTAGGGCTGTTTTGTCCAGCTGTTTTGAATGTAGGATCACCTTGTACTATGTTTCAGGCGGTCTGGCGTGATCAAACCACATTAGTCTGGAAGGAATCCACATCTTTTCATTTTCTGTGGAAACAAAAATAGAAATCCTTTTCCCCAGTAACTTGTCCTTCAACTTAAATTTTGGAGTCAAAGCATTTTTTTTTTTAATTTATTATTTTACATGTCGATCCCAGTTCCCTCTCCCTCCCTCTCCCCTCCCTCCCCCATTCCTCCCTCCCTCCTTCCCTCCCTTTTACCCTCTCTGCCCTCTCACATGCACTCTAAACACCCTCCCCTCCCATCCCCCCACCCCAATTCCATGTGTAGGGGAATGCCATCCAGTAGGGGTCATGTAGATCTGACAGGTCCTGTGAAGTAGGGACTAGGGCTTCTCTCCTGTCTCTAGATTAAGGCAGTTATCCCTCCATGGGGGATGTGCTCGCAAAGTCCTTTTGTGCACCAGGGATACATCCTGGCTCCACTGTCTGAGGTCTCTTAGACTGCTCAGTCCTTCTGGCTGAGACCCATATTCAGGGGGGCCTGAGTCAGTCCCATGCTGGCTTCCCAGCTATCAGTCTAGTGGCCATTAGCTCCTCCTTGTTCAGGTAAGCTGTCTCTATGTGTTTCTGCCTCATGGTCTTGTCCGTGAGAGAACAAAGTTCCTGGGAAGGGACTGCAGAGGAAATGCGGGAACAAATTCCACTCTGCAATGAAAAGATCTACATGCAAACATTTGTTTAAAAGCTGGGCTTCAAGGGAAGGCTATGCCTGGATATGTTCACTATCATCACTTATGGTGATATTTGTTGATGACCGGAAGTAATCCTTGGTTATAACAGATACTGATGCAGAGACAGAAAGAGATACGGGTGCTTTTCTGAGGAGACTTTTCTCTCTCTGTGTTATTCACAGTTTGAATTATGTTGTGATTTTTAATACCTGGAAGACCTTAACACTTGACTCAAAATAAAAATACAACAAGAAGGAAAACATTTTCAGATAAAACCACAAAGCAGTTCTAGGAGCCCTTGTGTCATATGGACAGACTCCCAAAGCGTTAGTATTTGGGCTTCTCTAGCAAATAGGAAAAAAAAAAATTTTTTTATTCACCTGGTTCCTACTGAATAAATAACCCCTTTGTCTTGTCAAATCGACTCAGGAATGGATTCACTAACAGACTTGTCAGCTCATTAAGTAATATTTACTGTACTGGGATGTCATTATAGATAACTAATCTGGTGTTTTAAGCCATGCGTGCTATTTGGTTTTTCCCATGTTAAATGGGAACACCTGATGCACACAGATTTACTTTGACGTAAGCACTCCTGGTTCATTCTCACACTGCTCTCTAGACTACCATGAAAAGCACGGTATTATCACTAGAGGTGTGCTAGATCCAAATTAAAACTTGAATACCAATATTTTGTGACTTCTTAAAAAAATTTCTCATAGGCACAGATAATAGAAGTGGTCTTGTGTCTTCTCATGTGATACTTTAAATGTCTTTGAAAATACTTCACTAAATGAAGCTGATAACAAAATATGGAATGTAATGTAGATACAGTTCCTAGGGACTTTCATTTTTTGTAGATAAATATCACTTTGGAAAACAAACAAAACCCCTTTTGCTTTCCTGGAAAAAAGAGAGAGAGTGATATATATATATATATATATATATATATATATATATATATATATATATAGAGAGAGAGAGAGAGAGAGAGAGAGTTTTGTTGTGTTGACTTCTGGAGGGAGACAGGAACAAACATCTATAGGACAGCACCAGCAGACCAAAGAGATGGTCCCACCAAAGACTTACTTAGTGAACCAATGAGTTTATTGGAGTTACTAACAGGTGTGTGGGTGACAAAAAGATTACTCCATCTCCAAAAAACCCACCCAGCATGAAGGATGACTTTCCAAAGCTGCATGCATAGAGCTGTGGGAACAACTTGAAGGCAGCTGCCCCTGCCTTCCTGAACCCAATGCCCC